AACCTCATTTGTATTTATTCCTTCAAAATAATAATCTTCATTATCACAATAATAACATTTTATCAAAAATCGATCAATATTTTTGAAAACAATTTGATCTATAGTTCCAGTAAATGTTGTAGAATTATTATTGTTGTTACTTGATTCATTAAACTTGGCTGATTCAATTCCTGTATAAAATAATTTATATAATGTATTGATCCAATAATAATAAAATAATAAATCTTTTTTAATTTTATTAATTCCTTACCTAAACAATCAGAAATTATTGAACTGTTTGTTTTTTCAAAAAATACACATAATCTGGTTATAGCAGCATGAACTTGTTGTGTTAAATACCATTCAAAATCTATTTTTTTCAAATTTTTAAATTTTTAAAATAAAATATAAATATAAACATATATACAAAATAAATTTAAAATTATCAATATAACAAGATAAAAAAAATTACCTACCAATCTTTAAATTCATGTTTCTAACTTCATCTGGATGAAATGCACGTTCTGAAACATGTTCATTTTTAGAATTATCTCCCCCATCCTTTTTACATATTATATAAGGAATAGTATTTCCTTGATGTGCACTAGCTCCTTTTTGTTTCATTCTTAATGCAACTTTTACATGTGGTTGACTTTTAATGTCAGAATAAGCTTCAGGTGATTTGGTGAGATTCTAAGGAAAGACAAACATATATATTATTAACTAATCCAAATATTTATTTACCCATTTAAATAAGCAAATGGGTTTACCTTTTTTATTATATATTTATCCAATGAAAATTTTTCTTGACGTGTATTTTCTCCCAATTGAGTAAGGAACTGATGAATATTTTTAAGCACTGTATCTTGATCAGAACTAGAAAGTATTTGACTTAAGACATAGCTATTTTTATATAAATAAAAAAAAAAGTTCAAATTTTTTTTGTATTTTACTTTAAATCAACATGTAATTAACAAAACCAAATTTATAATTATACTAACTTTGATGCATCATGAACTAATTCACACCAATCCCTTTTCACCAAATCAAGTCCTTTAAACTCATTATGACGAACAAGTGTTCCATTTTTGTTTTCTACAACAACAGCTGCATATTTCTTTTTCTTTAATAATAAAAGCCTTTCAAAAAATCCATCAATATCTATCTCAACCGATTTGTATCGTTTATTAACTCTTTCTTTCAAAATTTTTCCAACTTCTAATGCCTTTTGCATTTCTGATGTATTTGTATTGATCATTATGGAATCTGTGTCACCATAAATAACCTACAAGTTAAATTATTAGTTTAATTATTGCAACATGCAAAATCATTATAAAGCACAAGTAATTTCCACACCTCCATTGATTCTCTTTTTGCCAAATCAACAGTATCCTGTAAGATTTCTCTTCCTTTTGAAGTGATTAAAGCTGCCAATGGTTTTGCATAAAACCTTGAATTTGTAAACCCCAAGCAGCCATACATACTATTTGCAGTAAGTTTAAGTGCTTTTTGTATAATATCATACTATGAATAATAATTTAGAAAATAATAAAAACATAAGCATTTACACTCATACATATATACATTTTATGATAGTCATTTATGAACAAAGGCATATTTCTTTACCTTAGCACGTTCACCTGATGTATTTGACTTCATCATAAGTCCTTTAGCATATTTTCTTCTGTCAACAAATACTTTGATCAATCTGGGAAGGATTCCTTCTTTTAAGGTGGAGAATGGGTCATTTGAAAGTTCTTCTTCACCTTCCTATATACATAATATTAAAGAAATAAAAGATTTGATTCATTAAAAATTTAAAAAATATATGAATAACTCACCAAAT